CCAAAATGGTATCAACAGCCTAGTATTCTAGATAATGGAAAATACAAAGAAACTTACAGTTGTATGTATTGTGATGGCCAAATGTTAGATCAAGGATTATTAAAAGTTCGAGATCATGACCATATTAATGGCAAGTATAGAGGTCCTGCTCACAGTGATTGCAATAAAAAATTACAAATGGGCGCTTTCAAAACCAAAGTACCACTTATATGCCATAATTCCCGACATTATGATACACATATACTTATGGGGGTTGTAGCTAAATTTACAGCAGATAAGATAAAATGCATTCCGGAAAACATAGGCAAATATAAGGCTATGGATGTTGGTCAATTGCGCTTTTTAGATAGCTTTCAACATATGTCTATGGGGCTTGATAAGCTTGTTGAGTGTATGAACGGCAATCTAGAAAAATTCCCCCTAACGGTAAAGCATTTCACCAATAAAGGCTACTCATTAGACCAAATCAAGCTTCTATTTCGAAAAGGAGTTTTTCCATATGACTGGACCAATTCATGGGGTAAATTCGAAAAAACAGCCCTACCACGCAGAAAGGATTTTTATTCTCTACTTAATCAACAAAATATTAGTAAGGCGGACTATGAATATGCCCAAGAAGTATGGCAAAAATTCGAAATGAAAAATTTTGGTGAATACCATGATCTATATCTGGAAACGGATGTACTTTTACTTGCAGACGTTTTCATGAATTATACCGTTATGTGTTTACAGGATGACGGCTTAGACCCCTCCCATTACGTTTCAGCCCCCGGTATGTTTAATGATTCTTTATACAAAAGTAGTGGTGCCGAAATCAAACTTCTGACAGACCTAGATCAATATATGTTAGTCGAAAAAGGAATCCGTGGAGGCATGTCTATGGTTAGTCAACGTTATGCCAAAGCTAATAATCCGCAATGCCCTGATTATGATGAAAGCAAGCCGAAATCTTATATAATATATGACGATTTCAATGGCTTATATTCTGGTGCCATGACGCAATATTTACCAACAGAAATATTAGGTAAGGTAGCCCCCGAGGAAATGCCCAATATTTTAGAAATTCCGATTGATGCTGAAGAGGGCTATTTACTTGAAGTTGATGTTGAGGTTCCATCAAACTTGCATGATTTATTCCGTGATTATCCATTAGCACCTGAAAAAGGCGTTGTACCTAGAAACTGGCTTAGCCCATTTAATGAAGACTTGGTGAATGATTCGGAAATTGGTGGAGGAAAATATGTATTAGGCGAAAAGCTACTTCAGACCCTCCTGACCAAGAAAAATTATGTGGTTCATTATAGAGCTCTCCAACTTTATATAAACCTTGGATTGAAAGTTACGAAAATTCATAATGCCCTCAAATTCCGCCAATCCCCATGGATGAAGCCCTATATAGAGGAAAATATTCGCAAAAGAAAAATTTCTAAAGCATCTGGGGATGAATTTGGGGTCATGTATTATAAGCTCAAAAATAATGCTGTGTTTGGTAAGCAAATGGAAAATGTCCGAAAGCATATGAGAGTAGAATTACTTAGATCTGATGAGGATAAAAGAATTAAACGTCTTACTTCATCTCCTTTATATGTAGGCTTTAAGGCTTACGAAGGCGGAATTACAGCCATTCATATGCTAAAAAGCCAGATTACTCTAAATAAGCCGATGTTTGTAGGGCAAGCAATTCTCGA